TGACCTTTAACCCAAAATTCACAAACAGAAAAGGTTCAGTAATGGAGATAATTTTTTTCATGAAAAGCATTTGCTAATTTTTAGAGGATATATTTGATTACTCTGATGCCCTGAAACTCTTCAAGTTAGGAAGGTATAATAAACCACGTAACAAAAGAGAAAATAAGATTTATGGATTTTTTTAATTCAATGAAATAAAAAGAATTACTTTAATTGCTTATATGTCATTAATAAAACAAGTTCTAAGGAAAAAACTACACAGATCGTTCAATAGCTATTTAATATGAACACAAAAATTATAAATTCCTTAGACTTTTCTGATAGTCAAACTCTTTCTCTTCATTAATATTTGCGTCTTAATGATGGTATGCCTTTGCAGAATACTCTGATTTCTGCAGGTTTGAGCAGATGAATAGAGAAATTGGGAAAGGTCATTGAGCTGAACATTCAAAGCCTGCTTGAAAAGAATAAAGTGTCTGACACAAAAAGGAAGAATAAGCTTCTGAGAATAAAGGTAGAGAGTATCATTTGGCAGACCCAAAACGTAAATAAAAATTAACCAAACATATAAACCTAACCGTTAAATAACATTATTGAAATATTGCTTTTTGTTTTTCAGAAATAAAGCATAAATTGTCATAACAGAGAGGACATTCGATTACACAGTACAATATTTTGCAAAAGGGTTAATAGTGCCTGGAAAAGAGCAAGAAGTTTCTTTTAGCACCATCCCCAGATGTAGCAAATCATTTTGTTCCGTCCCTCTCTCCTCCATTCCTTTTTCCTCTTCCTTCTTTTCTAATGCCCAAAATATTCAGTAAGGGAAGGTGAAGTGCTATAGACAGATAAGATAAAGTTCTCTTTTATTTTTCCTACCTCAGACCCCAAGAACAAATATATAATCCTGATACTGAAAAAAAAATGTTCAGCCAAAATAATAAACACAGCAACTTGCCTCAGCTGAATGACAGATTTGATGGTAGTGAATAACTCCTTGCATCTGCAGAAGTGATATGCTTTATAAAGTATCCTCATGTGTATTATCCTTTGGGTTCCTCCCAGAAATCATGTAAGGTGCACAGGGGAGGTTTATTTCTTCCGTTTTTTTTTCTCAATAGGGAAATAGGCTCAAAGGTGTTCAGTAATTTTCCCACCATCACTCAGGGGCAGATCTTGGACTTACAATATGAGTCCTTTCTTCTTTCCACTACCCTTACTGCCTCAATAAGCTTTCATCACCAATTTCACTAAAATAGATATATATGAGTTACAGAAATATAATTCCTTTGTGATTTACATAGTAGATATCAAGATCTGTATTTCTATGTTTAGTTAATAAAATATCTTCTATCTATATACACTGAGTACTGTTGATTAAAGAGAGTTATATAACAAATAGATCCATAACACAAAACAAATAGTTTTATTAATATTGAATTATTTCTAAAACAATTGTAACAGAAAAAACAATTCAGTATGGATTTTCAAGTAGGAAATGCATTTATCTACACCATTATTGGCCCAAGAATATGACTGAGTGCATACTATGGTCTAGACAATTAGGTACTATGGACATATTAATGAAAGGAAACAGCAAACTCCTCTGTCTGTGCCTGCATGATGTCCCATCAGCAGGTGAGACAGACATATAGCAAAGAGTCCTTAAATTTCTAAATGGGACTATAGAAATCTAGTCTAGTATGGGGTCAGGAAAGCTTCCTTCAAGACAAGACAATTAAGGTAAAATCCAAAAAAATAAGTAAATAAATAGGATATGCTCAAGCAAAAAGGAAGAGAGGATGGAGCACAATGAAAGAGCATTTCAGGAAGAAGAACAATTTGGAATTTAGTGGAGTAGAAATGATCACCCAAGGAGACAATTTATTGGGTAAAGGAGAAACAATCTGAAGGGTTTAACGGCTTTACCACATATTTTACTTTGTGCTGAATTCTCTGTTCCTAAAACAGAGCTCAAAATGGCACTGAGTATACTGTTTTGATTTTCTGAAACCATATTCATGTGGAATACAAAAACGACCATCCTTAAACAACTTCTCCTTACCAGCCCTTTTTACCTGCATTGTCTCATTTAATCCTCAAACAACCTCGACCAAATGAAACACTTTCTGTTTCTTCCTGAGGCTTAAAGAGGTTATTCTTTTTCAAGCATCAAGGGTAGCCAATCCAGAATAAAAACCTAGGTTTTAGGATCCCTTGTCCGTTGCACTTTCCATGACATCACACAGTGACCATTAGCTAAAGAATCCTATCTGCCTATCAAATGCTTATTAAGACCCTGCTGTCACTGAACAAGACAGATAAAATCCCTATCTTCATGGAACCTACATTCTACTAACAAATATACTAATGTTGTGAGTAGGGCTTTTTTTCTTGAGTTCTCATTTACTTTGTGGAAAATAATCTTTCATGTTCCAAAGAATGAAATGAAGTACAAAGATTTGGACTCCATCTCTCTGGTGTCACCTGTGTCTGCTTCCATTGTTATTTGATGAGCTGGTGCTCTCTCTCCCTCATGGCCACAGGCACTAATCAGCAAAGGCATGGCCAGGAAAGATGTCACTACTTTGTGTAGAACTGGTTGGTTAGGGTGGTTTCCTTCCCACACATTTACCCAAAGCTTTGGCAATATGCTTTCATGTTTTGGAGCAAGGCTACATGTGATTCCAAGGACTGTCACTGTTAACATCCAGAGTTATGTTCCATCATATTGGACTAAAGGAATTCAAGAGAGGATGACTTTTAACAGCAGATGTTTGCAAAACCTCTCTGTGCTCGGAGCAAGAGCATCCCTGGGTAAAGCTTGGTAGAATAAATCCAGTTATTCTTCTGATTTCTAGACCATGCTTTGTATTAAAAGAGGCCCCAGTGACCAGAAAGACTGATTGCCCTTCTCAAAATGCCTTTTTTTTATCCTGCTGGTAGAAGAGAAAGGGAGTAGTTGGCACCCATCCCCCCAATCAAATCCCATAAATAATCTGGCCCATTTTTTCTATGCCCTGTTCCAGAAGTTAGTGAACACTTGGGGAAAAAAGAAATGTAATATATTGAAAACTTTAAAGGTAGCTGGCCAGGCTAATGCAAAATGGAAAAACAAATCCTGAAACTCTACTAGAAAGGAAAATCAACCATTTGGTAGTGTCCTTTTCTGCTAATACGGATGCACAACAACCTCTAAACCTGGAAATGATTCATTCATTCTCTCCAGGAAGAAGGGTGGAGATTGGAGTGAAGGATAGTTCATATTACAGAATTCGGAAGGACACCAGCTTGCAATATATTGGGTAGATTAAATGGAATGAGATTTCACAGGCAGGAGCAGAGAAAGGACAATCACAAAGGAACAGATAAAGAAATGGGAAGCAGTATGGGAAAGAGGCAAAAAACATGTTGTTCAAGGGGCTGCAGAAACAGTGATCTGTTATTAATGGAATGGTCATCTCAGACAGAGTGGATCTGACAGGTGCAGTCAGGCAGCCTCAAGGTACGTGGGCTCCAAACAGGGTTCAAGCTCCTGTTCAGCAAAGGCAGGTCACCCCTCCAGCAAGGAGGCCAAGGGAACAATGGAAATCCCCAAAAATGAACAGCTTTCTGTCAGTTTCTCAGGTTGTGAAACACTCTGAGAAACAAAGTACTTCAGAACCACTATGGGTGCAATGGGACAGAGCACTTATAAAAAGTATAGATCCTTGGAATCCAGACAATGGCAATCTCCTGAGGTCACATCTGGTACTTCTGACAAATGACTTAAGTGAGTCTTATGTACAGTTAAGTTTAATGACCACTAGCTAGTATGATAAAATTGGGTTCTTCACCTTCTTTTGTTCTCAGACTGACCAAGGCTATCTCTTGGTCACAGCCCTTAGACTAGAGCTGTCTGAAATTTACATAACACACCCCCTAGTCACAGAGATCTTAGACTTTTTTGGATGGAGAATCACACCAGATTCTCTCCATATCACTTCCCTGAAGGTCAAGCCACATCCTCTGACCAGGGTCTGTGGTTTCAGAGGTTATTGTGTCAGTTTGTAGTAGTAAGGAGGGTACAGTCAGACTGTGAGTCTGAGGCACCAATTCCATCTTCATCAGAGCAGCTGGATGGGCCATTCAGACTCCTGGGTGGAACCAAGAAGAGGAAAGAAGGAGAAGGGCCTTAAACAAGTCATGTCAGTCCCACAGCCTTCATCAAGACACTAATTGGAGATCACTATGCTTGGTGCCAAAGGCAATATACTACCAGTCTTCTCTCGTCGGATTGTTACTCAAGTATTAGGACTCAAATTTGTGAGGTGAATTTCTGTGAAGTAAAAAAGTTCTAATGAATTAGAAATGTGTGTACGTATTCATTGAATTTGTATTTTCCAGCAGATAAGGCAGTCTAAGTAAAATCATGTTCAAAATCAGGAATTCAGACAGACATCTCTAGTTATATAACCGACCTACAGAATAAAAGCTGAACTGGAGCTACTGTCTACTTTCTGGTAACCCCTGACTCTGTCTTCCCTCCCCTCTAATCACTGTTGGTGAGTTTAGGTCCTATTTGTAACGTTTCCGTTCAGAGGCCTCTAGCTCTAGGAAGCCCTTGCCCTCCTTGTACCAGGCACTTCTGCACAGTCACAGCACTGCTAGCCCTTGCATCTATGTTTGCAGCATAAACAGCTGTCGCAATCACGAGTGGGCTCAGAACTCCTGCAGAATCCTGATAAATACTCCTTCATCCTTACTAATAGCCCCTTTGACACATTTTCGTGGTCATGATAAACCGAAGGCCAGATAAAAGTAAGCGACTTTTGATTCAAAACAAAACAACCAACAAAAGCCACTTTCAAGATCTCTTTCCATGATGTCCTTTTGAAGCATTACTTCCCGAAAGAAAAGTCCTTCCCACGCTAGGTCCCATAAACACCCACCCATGGGCGAAGCCTCATCGAAGCCCCCTGGGGAACTCGCTCAGTCACCTCTCCTCTCCCTTTTCTCCTCAGCTCTAACGGAAAATCCGTCACGTGGGCCCAGAACGAGAAGAGCAGCCGGGGGCAGCACCTGTGGCAGCGGCTGTCCATCCACATCAACAGGAAAGAGAACCCCAACCAAACGGCCGTCATCAAGCCCTTCCCCAAGAGCGCCGAGAGCCGAGGCCCGGGCGCGGGCGCGGGGGCCACGAGCGGCGCGGGCGGCGCGGGCGGCGCGAGCGGGGCGAGCTGCACGGGCGGCGGCCCGGGCGGGCCCGAGCCCCCCGACGCCGGCCCGCAGGCGCTGTACGACGTAGCCGAGACCGAGGAGCACTTGCCGCCCGCGCGGCCGCGCTCGCCGTCGCCCATCAGCACGCTGAGCCGCCGCGCCGGCTCGGCCAGCCGCACGGACGACGACGCGCCGTCGCTGCACTCGGAGCCCGCGGCGCGCAGCAGCTCCTCGCAGGGCTCCCTCCTGGAGCAGATCAGCAGCGTGGTGACCCGCTTCACGGCCAACATCAGCGAGCTCAACTCCATGATGCTGTCCACCGCGGCTCCCGGCCCCGGCGTGGGCGCCCCGCTCTGCTCTTCCTACCTGATCCCCAAGGAGATTCAGCTGCCCACGACCATGACGACGTTCGCCGAAATCCAGCCCTTGCCGGCCATCGAGGTCACGGGCGGCGCGCAGCCCGTGGCTGGGCTCCCGTCGGCTGGGGGCGCTGCAGGGGAGGCACCCGCGGCCGGGCCTGAGGCTGCGGCCGGCAAGCAAGACCTGGAGGAGCTGGTGGCTCTCACCCCGCCGTCCCCCTTCAGAGACTCAGTGGACTCGGGGAGCACAACCCCCAACTCGCCAGTGTCCGAGTCGGCGCTCTGCATCCCATCGTCTCCCAAATATGACACTCTCATCATAAGAGATTACACTCAGAGCTCCTCGTCGTTGTGAATGCCACTGGAAGCCACGGGGCTTCAGCGTGCTGAGCCGAGACCTCCGGTGTTCACAGACACGGTGACAAGCACAGTCACCTGCTTAAGAACCGAGGTGGAAGATGCCCAGTACACCCCGTAATGGAAACATGAGATTAATAGTGCTATTTCACAACAACCGACGAAGACACCAACTACAAATCTTTTGGCAGATTTTCTTCTAGTGGCCTTAGAAAACATGGGCTTTTAAGAAACACTGCTTTTATTTTTGAGGGCAGACAAGGAGTCTGTTAAAACACTTAACGTACCAAGTGCTTTACTCCAAGGAAGCAGTGAGTGTGAAACAGCATAATGGAGGGTGAAAAGCGTAGTTAATAAGCAACTGTAAAAAGTTTTATTTGTTTACTTTAATTCTTTTCCCAGAAGAGTCTTCGATTCACCAAACATGAATGTACATTTTCTAACAAACTCAAAATCTGGGACCAAAACGTCAACCTTTCTCTTCCTTTTTTCTTTCTTTCTTTTTTTTCTTTAAAGACCTTGAAAAGCAGTAACTTGGGCTCAGTATTTACAGAGGCATTGTTGTGAGTGCATCCCGTGCATAACACGCAACTGGATAGTGAGTGCTGCGCTAATGTACGTAGGGCGTCTACCAGAGACTTTCCTCTCCAATTTGGTTGTGAAATACTCTTCCAAAAGCCTGCATCTCGGATTCCACCTAGTCATTTCAGATTCACCTCCATTAACCAAGAAAACCAGTGGAAGATTTCTTGACTATTTCACCATGTTGCCAATCAATACTGGAGTAGCAAAAAAATATTTTCTGGAATACTGTTTTGTAATTCCCTCGCTGGGGTGCATTGTGTAGCTGGAAATTCTCTTTATAATAATAATTCTTGAGCTCCAGCTTGGCTATCTCGTTCATGAAACACAACCACTCCTCCTTAAGAATGCTGTTCCGTTAGCATTGCCAGCTAAAATATAAAATATGCATTTGGGTTTCTTCATTCCTTTCTTTTGAGAATCTTATATACAAAGAGCTCCTCTGTTCTTTTTGAGTCCCACCACTGGAAGAGTGGTCCATAGACCCAATGAAGGCATTGTCACAATTGGCGGGACTGCTGAAAGAATTAACACTATCTTAATACACTGGCAATTTTAAACTGTGTCAAGTCAGCTTAGCAGAGATTTAGCTACGCCAATGAGCAGTGATTTTAACTATTCTTGGCTGCTTAAACAGGGCAGCTATGAACTATGACTAATGTAGATTTTTCAAAGCAATACAGAATACTAAAACAGAGGAACCTTAATGAATATCAACCACACAATCTTTCTTAGCCATTCCAAAAAGAGCAAAGCAATTATTAATATTTTGTTTTTTAAATTATTATTATGATTTTGTGCACTTCATATTGTCACTTTTTAAAAACTGCAGAAAAGAGATTTAGAGTTATAATAGAAACACATCTGCTTTGATAGGCTCATATAGGTAGACTTCACAGTTCAAGACGTGAGTCCACCGGCATCTTTCTTCCTCCCACTGCAGCTACCCTCACGTACCACATGGTTTTGATTTTTAAATAAGGATAGTAATAAAAGGAGGAAATGTCCTATAAATTTAAAGTTCAGTTGACCCAGCCTTGTACTAAAGATAGCCTTATGAAAAAGATTTGCTGTAAAGCAGAAGTATATTTTTGGCAGAGAGAAAAATAAATAAAACTTTTTTCCTTTAAGCTCAATATTCTTATTTTGGTAAGTATTTTTTTATTTCACATCTACTTTTTAAAAAAAGTTGAGAAATGGAGTCAATCCATTGACATAATTTATCATTCTCCACCTTTAAAAGTTATAATAAATATATTGCTTGTTGACTTTCCTATTCTGATATCTGCTCTTATTTGAAATATCAAGTCAAATCTTCCAATATAAAACATTAAAAGCAAACATCGATTTACTAAAATATCAATTTAAAAGAAATCAAATCTCCCATGCCAGATTTGAAAATAACATCATGAGAGTATTCAGATACCAAATATTACAATGAGACTTTTGAAACAGAAGTGAAATCTAGCTAAGCTTCATGGTATCATTAAAAGCAAATGTCGGCCGGGCGCGGTGGCTCACGCCTGTAATCCTAGCTCTTTGGGAGGCCGAGGCGGGTGGATTGTTTGAGCTCAGGAGTTCGAAACCAGCCTGAGCAAGAGTGAGACCCCCGTCTCTACTAAAATTAGAAAGAAATTAATTGGACAACTAAAAGTATATAGAAAAAATTAGCCGGGCATGGTGGCGCATGCCTGTAGTCCCAGCTACTCGGCAGGCTGAGGCAGGAGGATCGCTTGAGCCCAGGAGTTTGAAGTTGCTGTGAGCTAGGCTGACGCCACGACACTCACTCTAGCCTGGGCAAAAGAGTGAGACTCTGTCTCAAAAAAAAAAAAAAAAAAAAGCAAATGTCTGCCTCTACCTGAAAAACAAATGTAAATATTTTGAAGTATTAATACCCCCTGGATCCTCATCAAAAGGGTGGCATTCACTGAGGGATTATAGTCATTTCTTAAGTATTGAAACCTTTCTAAATATGCTCTTTTCTCTACATCTTGAAATTTGTTTCATAAAATCCTTAGATTGATTTTCATTTTATTCTCAAATACAGTAAGTTTCACTCTATTGACCAACAGAAGAACATTTTTTAAAACTTTCTCCATGATCAAATTCATTTTCTAATTTTTTAGTAACGTATCTCTTTAAAAAGTATACTACCTTATGAGAAACTTCATTAGAAATTAAAATTTAATGCAAGTAAATTGTCATCTGATAATTCCACATATCATAATCAACTGTGATAATAAATATAACTTATCCAATTAGAGGAAAACAAGATATATTTTTCTCTGTATTTCTATAACTTTTGCCATTTCATTGAATACATTGTATATTGGACATAAGATTATTAGTAATACATTCTTGAGATCTTTTATTTTGGAATGATGCTAACTGTCTCTTTGCCAATTCTAATACCAGGTTCCAAGTAATAACTCTACAATACAAAGAGAACTGAATACTCATTCTAGGGCTAGGATACGAACTTCACAATTCATTTGGGTACCTATTCTCATTGAATTTCCTTGTTCCTGGTGCCCAGTGATAATCAGTCGGGACCAGCATGACTAAAAGGAAGGGGAAATGCTAAGGTTCAGCAAAGTGACCCTGCAGGAGAGATTGGTCCCGGGATGGAAGGAAGACGACCTGGTTCGATCAAGTTATACTGACTAATCTAAGCAGTCCTCTCATCCTTTTATCTTGGGAGAGGAGTGGGGCAGCTTGAGAAGAACATAGAAGAACCGTCTTTCTGAGCTAAGGGTGGGGAACGGAAAGAGAATATGAAAAGAAAAATCATAAGAGAGTTGACTTAAGCAAGGAAAAAAAGCAAATCCCCAACAAATGTGCTATCCTTGAAAGTAACTGTCTTTCCCAAACCACTGCTGCTACCAGCAAGTGATCAGGAAGACTAGGAGCTATTTCTGACTGTAAATGAATTGTATAATGGTTCTGCTACAGTTCTGTGACTTCCAAACCAGAAATTAAACACTGTTTTTAAGGGAAAAAAAAAAATGTCCTATGCTAGTCTCTCAGCAAAATGTACATGTTTTGGAGACTTCAAAGGTATTATCTGAGTTCACATTTAGCAACAGCTTATTAATAACCCTCAAGCTGTCAGAATCTCTACAGTTACCATTTACAATTTTATACTGTGAAAAAAATACAGATCAGTGAAAGCATAAAGATAAATCAGAATTCATTTCGAAGAGGGTCTGAGGCCTGGGAGATTCTCTACTGTCTATTGAAGAATGAGGCATGTATAAAATAGTTGGCTGAATTTCACTGATCTTCCCAATGTGAACAAATATACTATGTATATTGTATGTATTTCTAGAAATCAATGGCAGCTGCTGGTGGTGTTGTAATTAGAAATCTATATAGAATATAGATGTTTTAGAAAGATGGTGCCAATCCTAAAAGATTTGTGTGGGCTACAAGTGCTTGTACTTACTTTTTTCAGCACTTATAACTGATTTGGTTTTAAAATTGTGTGCGTGTATTTGTTCTTTTCTGTTGTTGCAGCTTGTACTATTAAAATAATAGAGAATGTTAAATTATTTTGATGTGAATTGCAAATGATTTTTTTCATAAAGTTTAACATTTTTATCCGCATTGTTTTGCTTTGTACTTGTATAAATGTGTTTTATTTTAGCATTTTAAAATACACTTGCCTGTTTCTCAGTTGTCTAAATCATGTTATAGTTGGTTTTTGTGAAGTCAGTTGCTTTTGAAAAACATTAAAAAAAAACTATGATATGGCTTTAAGATTATTCCCCTCAAATGTTTAGAATACTGTCTCAATAGTGTTTTCTAAGATGGAAGAGCCATGCTACTAATTAACCTTAAATTCTGAATGATCTACACATTTGAATTATGAGGTTTACAAAGTAAGCAGTGGACAATAGATAAAAATGAAAATATAAACCAACCACAAACCAACCAGAGACACTGTCCCCAAAGACATCTATGAACACCATTTAAGACATAAATAAACACTTTTTCCAAAAAAGGAATGTAAGAAATATACAGTGTTTTGCATGTAGACAAATGATAGAAATAGTTTCACAATTTTCTGTGTTGATAGAGGCAACATCACACAAATAAAACAGATTATTTGTGTGTGTATATGTTTGTATACAAACATACACACACATTTATATAGATGTTTTACTTTTGAGTCCATCTGTGTGTGTTTGTGTGTATATGTGTGTTTGTGTGTACCTGTATGTGCGTATTTTTATAACTTTTCCAGAAAAAAATTTGCTTGTCAAATTACTTTTTATTTTGACTGACTCTTAAGCAAATTTACATTCCCTGAACACAAATTAGTGAAAACTTCAAAGCAGAACATAGGGTAGATGCTTGATATATGGAAGAAAAGGTGTAGATTTTAAAATATAACTGTTCTATGCTTCCCCCAATTGTGTTATTTATACTCATAATTACATATATAGACACATATAAACATAGATACATATATATGCATATATTATTATACAAAATATGTTTGATCTTGAAAAAGGAAATCATTTTCTCTACTT